AAAAGGAAATAGAAAATTAAACTGTTTGACCATTTCTGTATATTATTTTCTCAATTGAACAATTTCAAAAAATGATGATTCAAATTGAAAGACAAAAACATATTTATTGATACAGATCAGAGACAATACTAGAAGTAACTATCCAACAATTAGATCAGGCAAGACCTGATCCGATTTCTATTGAATCTTAATAAGATCTCATTTTGGTTGAATCCTATAGGAATATTAATGGAAATAGGACGATGAAATGACACTCGGATCTTTAGTGTGGCAAATCTGATTGGGTCGTATTCTCAGAACTACGTGTTATTTGGTGAGTACTTATTGATTAAGTGCTAACTAATTATATTCGTGAACAGTGTTGAGTATTGATTAACTTAATGCGGATGGGAAATGACCTTAAAACTTTATGTTTAAATGTCTAGCTTACTTATTTGAATTTCTTTTGTGTAACTTATTCTTAATTTGTTTTTATACAAATGATTGTGTGAGTGAGTGCACTGATATTCCTATTATATATATATATATATTTATCGATGCAACCATCTATGGATATTTCATCCGCGGACGTGTATCTTATCCACCTATGCCTATTTCATCTGCGGACGTCTATTTCATACACACCGACGCGTCTTCGTGATATCGGACAGTTTTTTTTTAAAATAAAAAAAAAAAATGTCGGCAAAGCAAAATTAAGAACCGACAGAGACAAAATGACTGCATTATGAAAACAAATGAGAACATATATAATCATGCGATTAATGCAAGTATTTTCATTTAAGAGAAAATAAGCTCTTCTTAGAGTTATACTAATGTCAGAGAACACGTGTCCTCCAGACCATTTTTTAACATATACTTTGAAAAAAATTAATTGAAGTGATAGATATGTACTCAGATGTCAGAAAAATCAACAATGGTGCGAGTTGAACAAGAACAAACACAACAACGTTCGACATGTCGTCTAAGAGTCATATCAGTAATAAATGATATCATTTTGGTTCAAGCAAACCAAATACACTTAGTTGATTTCTTGAATCATGCTGATTATAAAAAGAGATTGCATTTTCTTTGTTATTGATATATTAATTTATCAGATAGAACCAGTAAGGATGATCTTTGATTATAGATCTAAAAATACTTAGTAGTTAATTTATCTTTCATTAATAGTTTTCTCTGCTTTTTTTTCACATAATAAATCTTGTCATGATTCTACAATGCGAATATTTTCCAATATGCAGTTATTTCTATCTCTCTCTCGACGATTCTGCTTGGTGAATATTTTTTCTTAATTTTCCAAAAATTGTTCGCAATCAAGAAGCTTCGATTTAGGTATATGGGTGAATTGCGCTCGTATTGTACCGTTTTCTTGCGAACACGAAAACGCTTATATCTCAAATTCTACTCAATGAATTTTAATAATTTTTTTTTCAAATAATCCTTAGTATCTGCTATACTTATCGTAAAAATACCAAGGCTTATGAGTGCCATCACTACGGAGGTTTCAAGCAAGATAGATAAAAAATCAGTACTTTTTGGTACCATCAATCGACAAAAATCACTTTTCTGTCCAAGAATTTTGAATGTAGGAAAATAATTTTTTGGAACAGTTTTGCAGCCAACAACTTCCTCTTTCAGACCATATAATTTCATCACAACTTTGGTTTTGTTTTATTGATCAAATCTTGCAAGAACTACATGAACATTAATTTGGACCATTTTATGTCATGAAAGATTAAATTTAAGCTACTAAAATCAATGTAAAAGCATACTCAAATTTCCTTTTTCTCTTCGATAGACTAAACGGTGAGAAATCTTTTAATAGAAAAAATTTTTCTAAAGACCTTCTGGATCGAATAAAAAACTAAAAATTAGAGAGAAGGAATGCTATTTTTCTGCTAAGTGTTCCGACAGATTTTGAATTTTTTTATTTCATTTCTTAGTAACTATAAGAGATAAGGCCATGATTTTTTTAACCTTTTTAGCCGACTATATGATAAATGTGGGGATAAAAATTTCAGCTCTTGAGGACGTAGGGTTCTTGAGAAAATAGTATTTTACTCAAAAAATGTCCCTACAGATTAAAACGATAGATATTTAGAGAAAAGATAATTTTATTTCATCTTCTTCAATTTCAGTCGACTCGTTTCAGACATTTACTGAGTTTTTTTCTTATCTTGGATGACGGAGAAGCCTTAATGACAAAGCTAAAGTTTACAGATATTAGAATAAAAAGATTTTAAATAAATAATATTTACTTCAACTGGAAGATTAGCACTAACTAGTGGATATGTTGGCCAAAAGTCCATTGTTAAAACAGAAACGTACATTGTTACATTTCCAGGATATTCACGATCATGCATATACTAAAATAGTAGAGGATATAGCTTTGATAAATAACTAAAACATAGATCTAATAATCAGAAGGATTGTAATTTCACATATGTCATCTGAACCTTCGATCAAAAAAAAAAAAGAATTACTGTCAAATTTTTAACCCTCTCTACTGTCTACAAACTTGCATGACTACGATTTTTCGATTTAGTTAAGGCCAGCATTGATAGTTCCTATTAGACTCCATTTAAGCGCCTATGTTTAGTCGATTAATTGTGATCACTTCGTGGGTCTCTATTGCTATTTTATTAAGTTATTGACACACTCTCGAGATGCTGTATAAAAGGTAAATTTAAACAAAAAAAATCCACTGATCTTTACAATTATCACTCATAAGAATAGATATGAATCAGTGATGAGATCGATAGCAGTTCTATCAATAGACTGAGAACTTGTCGATAAGACTGAATTGTTTCGTTATGCGACATGTAGCTCTAAAGTACTGTCTTTGAGCATCAGCGTTAGCGAACAATGCATGATTCCCAGCGAAACATAGGTATTCGATAGAAACACTCATTTTTTTGCCTGTATACGATCAATTAAGTGAAAGAACTCTAAAACAAATTCATCTTATATATTGAACCATCAGACAATTAAAAAGGCTTATCATTGCAGTCCTTTTAAGGCTAAAAAATACACAAAGTGAATAATATCTAACAGACAACAGCTGCCTTTCAAGAACAATCAGTTTGTCTGATTTATTTCTGCATTTCCAACAGAATTTTTTTCTATTAGTGTTCTATGTTTTTTATTCTTCGAACTATTGATTTAACTGCCAAATAAGCCTGTTATACACATTCATTATATCTACAGCAGATCTCAACACACTTATATACCAGACATTGGACAAGTACAAGTACAGCAAGTAAAAGTGCAAATACTTTTTACTTGCCATCTGGACTTGAGACTTTTACTTAAGTACAATTTACTTAAGTACATCTTGACTTGGTATTGATACTGAGTACAATGTACTCGCATGAAGATGCTCAATACTAATTCGTTTGAGAGACATTTATTTGGTTGGGCGCACGGTTTCAATCAATCACTTTTTTTTCTCGTTCTGTGACTAATAGAATTCATTGGGGCCTTAAACTGTAAAAGTACCTGAATTGAATAAAAAAACCGATAAGCTTTTTTTGTAATTTGATAAATCAGAGAATTTTAACTTGAATAGATAATTGTACTTTTTTGCTTGTACTCGTTTGAATAACTGACTGATACGACTATTTCTGGAGTGCACAAAATAACAAACAGCTGATTAAAGGAATTTTTTATGATATTGATTGGATATACAACAATCGGAAAATAATTGTAATCGTCATTGTGGGTTGAAATAAGCTACAGACACTTTTTTTTAAGTATTCACACAAATTCCCCATTGCATAAAATGTATTTCGTTTTCTTCGTGAAAGATTAATGGGAAGGGGGCTGCTCGATGATAGTCAATTATGAAAAATTTTCCGGAAAAAAAACGAGAGTGGACGTGTTCTGAAAAAAATGAAAGTCGTTTTTTTTTAATGAAATATCCGTGCTAGAAATAGTGAATACATTCTTATATTGAAATTTTACTTTTTCAGAAGGCATTCTTCACCGTTTCTCTTTTGAGTGGTAAATAAACGATCTCACAATTTGAGCAAATTGTTCGCACTCATTCCCATCAAAAGAATGACGAATTGATCGTTGATTATCCAAGAACATTAGACAAGAAACTTGAATGAAATATACAGATAACTATATGCAAATGAAGAAAATTTTACGTTTGTGATAGAAAGAAGGAAAAAGTAAAAGAGATTGCACAACAAATATGTAGCAACGCTAAAGATGATTATGAAAAAGTGTTCGACCTTTTGATATTAGTACTATCAGAGAATGTAACACGATTTCATAGTGAGAAACAGCAGATTTAGTGTTACTATATCTTATGATGAAACACTATGGGACAGCTGCTAAAGGAATACCTACCATCATACATCATTAGAATTTTTCTTCTTCTATAAGATAACGAAAGGAAGTCTTTTTTTTTGTATATTTTTCTTCGTTTTTAATATTGTTTTTTTTACACTTGCATATATTTATTTATTCAATGTAGAGATGTCTTGATATAAATTAGTAGGTACAATCTAGCCTATTAATTTATATCTGCTAATTTTGTTAATGAATGCTTGGAAAATGAAACATTTCTCATAGCAACGTATTAGATGGGAATTTTACAGTATTTATTCAAAAGTTTTGATTGAAAGAATTAGTTCATCTAGTGTTTGGGCTTTCTAGAATTTCGTCAATTCCTGCTTTCGTCAGTTGTACTTTTTTACTGTTGTACTTCTATACTATAGCTGAGTTACAACTCAATTCATTCAAATTAGCGAATTTCATGGGGAAATTCGTCAATTGGCGAAAGAAGAAATTGGCGAAAAGACAATTCCTCAGTGTCTGGAACAAGTTACTTTCTTGGACAGGTGATAACAATAATAGTCCTTGAATGAACTAATTTTTTGTTTTTATTTAACGAAAATAAATCATTTGCTTGACCAAATTTTTCTATTCAACAAAATAATTTTCACCACATTGCTATTCTTAATCATGTTCAATTTTTAGATAATCACTTTTCAAATATTAATTGACAGTTACTAGTAATTCTGATTTTGTTGATAACATTTATAATTTATTCCATTGTATTTCGTTAAATTGACTTGTCTTACTGTGATATTTTCGATTCTTCTATAGAAAACTTCGAATTAGTGGAACAGAATATTTTGCTTCGTAAAATATGCAATTTAACTCGAGTTATCTATCGAATAAAGGTACTTTAGCAGGATATTGATTAAAAGAGTTTATTTTTATTGTTGTTTTCTTTGCTAAAAACAGTTTCGTTTGTTTTATGGTATATATCTTTCATGAAATCATATGTCAATATTAAGACAGTCTTATTGATTGTGTCGGTTCTTTAACATAGATTCACAATATGATAATTTCTTCGTTTTTTATGATAGACAAGAGCATTTCTTCAATAGATTGAAGCTACTTAATAACAATTCAAATGCTTTGTAGTTCGAAAAATAGAATGAATAAAAACCAATATTGTGCAGAATCAGTCTCTTTGTTTGGCTTATATAGAATTTAATAAAATGCTGTTTCATTACGACGGAAAAATATATGTGAATGTACATTGAATAAATTCTGCATACCTACAATTATTGTTCAAATTTAAGTACACTTTATATCCATTGAAAGAAGCGGAAGGATTTAATACTTCCAGAGAACATAGTATCATAGATACGATTATAAGGTCTAATGAACCTAAGGAAGCAACCGAATTGTCATTTATCATTTCTCGTAATAAAAGTAAAAACGTTTCAAAAATACTTATTTAATCATCTTGTTTTGATCTATTTCATTAAGAGTACCCCCCCCTCTTTTTTGACCCAAAATTCGATTTTGAGTTGAGCCCAAGGTATGATAGCCTGAGGTGCCACCTACAACTGGAGACATTATTCGACTCGAAACATTTTACTTTTACCTATTTATTAGATCGAGAAAAAATTTTTTTTTCATAGTAATCGTATGTAAATTTTTTTCATTTACTTAGCGTTTTGGAAAACAGCGATTTTCTACATCTTGATACATTACGACCCCCTTTTTAGTTTGTCTGATCGAGCTGAAATTTTTACCACTAACACTTGAGAGTATTCTCCAGAGGTAAAATCGAGCGTTTTCATTTTTGATGTTCCTACTCCAAGTTACAGGGTCGCAAAAGCCAAGACCCGAAGCACAAATTCAAACCTTGCTCTATTTCTCTTATAAAAAAGAAAGAAAGTGAGATTTTTGGAAATCCTTAATTTTACCTCTGGGGAATAGTGTTGGGCGTCTATAAACAAAATTTCAGCCCAATCGGGCAAAATTTAAGGGGGGTCGTAATGTAGCAGGATGCGGACCTCTGGAAAACCAGGGTTTTCCAGAAAACCCCTCGAAAACTTTGTTTAAATTTTTTTTCCTCGAACACGTATCTCGTTATTTTTGATGCTCTATCTGTGGTAAAAATTTCAGCTTGATCGGTTGTACCGTCTTCGAGAACCACAA